TATATATATTTATTCTATTCAATTAGTTTATTTATATTTATTTGTTATTTTAGTTGTTTATTTTAATTATTTATTATATATTATTATTTATTATAGTTTATTTATTTTATAGCACCAAGTCACAACAGAAGTTGTCCTCAGGGCACTGAACAGAAACTTTCAAATATACAAATAATAAGTTTAAACTATTTATCTAAGGAGCAGACTTCTTTGAATTTAACTCCATCGTAGAACTCTCATCTTGAGCAAGCACAAAGGTGACAGTGGAAAGGAAAGATTCTCATGAGGAAGAAACCTTTATCAGAACCAGGTTCAGGACAAGTGGCCATCTGCATCGACCTACTGGGTTTGAAAGGAACAGGAAGGAGGAACAGATCCACGGGTAGCTTGAGAATCACATGTTAAGATAGAAATAGTATCAAATGAAAAGTTTTAGCAAATTATTTAAGGAAATTAGGTCAATGTGTCCTCTACTTGTCTAAGCTTAAAGCAGCATAAGCCAACCTTACCTATAGGATTTATCAAAAAAGAAAGTCTTAATCCCAGTCTTAAAACTGGACAATGTGTGAGCTTCACAGACAGAAACTGGAAGTTAGTTCCACAAGAAGAGCCAGATAACCGAAAGATCTTCCTCCCATTCTGCTCTTGGAAACTCTAGGAGCCGCGAATAAGCCTGCAGTCTGAGAGCAAAGCAGTGGTGTAGTCTACACGTTTGTAGTGTACACTGCGGTTAGAAACAGAAGATTTTTAAGCATATTGAACATTTCAACATTTTTCTGACGCTTATATTTGAATAAATATACAACAAATTTTGTACAACATTTGGCTTTGTTTTCAAGACATGTTATAGATTTTATAAATCAGTATCAAAGCAAAACATGTTAAGTATTAAATAGTTAGTACTGAAGTATTAGTTATACAAAAAAAAAAACAAGCTGAACCAACTCAATGTGTCTATAAAATGTTCCATATGTGTTGACAATGACACATGCCATGCCCAATAATATGCTAGTTAGTTAGTTAGTTAGTTAGTTAGTTAGTTAGTTAGTTAGTTAGTTAGTTAGTTAGTTAGTTAGTTAGTTAGTTAGTTAGTTAGTTAGTTAGTTAGTTAGTTTATTTGACAGGACAGTACACACAAACATAGAACAGAACAAGTCTGTGAATGATGTGTTGAACAAATAGTATATAGCTACAGCTAATTCACAACTCCAGTCCCTGGTTGGGCATTTCTATGCATAAAAATACATACAATTTATCAATCAAAATACAATAAGAGTACCTACGTACTCCTGCCTAGATATTCATGTAATCAACCTAACAACCTCCAATTTCATATAATAAAAAAAACTGTACATTAAAATACAAACAATTAAAAAATCTAAATACAATAAAAATACAAAAATTTTCCTCTACATATTCTAAAATAACTTTGCAACCCACAAATTTACATAAATATCATAACACCTCCTCAATACCACCCCATCCTCACACATTCAGCTAACATACTAAAAATTGTAAATATAATACTAACTCACTCATGTCACTTATCACTGGGTACATTTAAGTGGGTATACTGAAATTCCCAAGCTTTTCTAGTGGATATACTCCGTATGCTTCTATATCACATACACCACTGGAGCAAAGTGCTCTGTTAGGAAAATATGGAACAATAAGATATGTAATATGAGATGGAGCTAGGTTGTTGAGAGCTTTTTAGGTTAGAAGTAAGATTTTGAATTCATTTCTGGACTTGACAGGGAGCCAGTGGAGAGAAACTAAAACTGGAGAGATGATCTCTCCTACCAACTCCAGTTAAGATTCTGACAGCAACATTTTGGATTAACTGAAGACTTTTTAAAGTATTTGGACACCCAGATAAAAATCAATTGCAGTAGTCCAGTCTAGACATGGCATATGCATGAAGCAGTTTTTCTACATCATTATTAAATAAAATGTTTCTAATTTAAGCGATAATACGCAAGTGGGAGAAGGTGGTTCTAGTAACATTCATTCAACCTTTATTTAGACAGGTAAATCCCATTGAGCCTCGAGGACTCATTTACAAGATAGACCTGATTTCAGCAAAGAATGATGACAACAATGGACAACAGCGACAACAATAGACAAATATAAAAAAGGCATACAGATTTTTTATTCTTTTTTACAAATAAGATGGCAAAAAAAAGTAACAAAAACAGCTAGATTACAAAAACAGCTAGATTACAACATTTTTTACTTGGGGGATAAAAGACATGTTCTGATCGAAAATAACATAGAGATTTTGAACATTAGAACTGAAGGCCAGATTAATGTCATCCAAGGAGGGCGAAAGTCTGAAAAATTGATTCCTAAGATGCTCAGGTCCCAAAACCAAAACCTTAAATTTTTTTAAACAAAAACAGACAAAAATGAAAAATTTAGGAACAAAAACTTAAGGAGCAAACATATACAAATTATAATTAGATATTGTAAAAAAACCAAAAATGATTAATATAATTTAATAGCCTAAATATAATTAATTAGTACTTGCACATAGACATATACCATGATGAACCACACTCCGTACCAGTTGGTGGCAGTAATGCACATCTTCAGTTTGATGCCAACCGGCAACCGCCATTAACCATATCTATGCCAATAACTACACAATAAGAAGAAGAAGAAAGAAGAAGAAGAAGAAAAAATAAGAAATACATATAAAGTACACGTCTAAGGTATGGCTGCAGCTATCATGTTATCCATAAAATACGAATGCTTCCAACGATTCATGTACGCAAACGTAGCTGTACAAGTACATGTGTTCGTATAGCTTATGAGCCACCGCTAACTTAGTGTAGCTACGTGTGGCTACATCGTTATTACATAAAATAAGCGTATTCTATGCATCAGAGAAGTAACCTTATGAAACACGGGAGTTTAGATTTAACAAGATAACAGTTTGTATTTTTATGCTATTGCAATTGAGATGCTATTTGCTAACAATAGGCTTTTTGGAATTGAGGCCACAAGTCAGACCATCTGCATTAGCTAGTTAGCCAGCTAACCTAACGCTGTTTCTTCTGAAGGTGAGGTGCGATTGAAACTGCCCAAAATGGTTGCACATAAACATTGCTGCAACTACTGTACTCTGTTTTTCTTTAATTTCACTACTTTTAGACCCCTCGGAGCAGTTTGGTTGACATCTTCTAATTTTAGGTTTAACTTTTCTTGGATTTAGGCTTCTGGGCTATCAAAACTAGGCAGGGACTGAATTCAGAGCACCGACTTTTCAGGTAAGTTAAGGGTCTACTCTCTGTACAGGACTTTTTTTTATTTTTTACTTTGTTAATGTTTATAGTGTGGTTTTCTTAGTTTGTACAGTTATGTTGTGTCCCTCGGTTATCGCGGGGGTTAAGTTCCGGTGTTACGCCATATTCTGTGACCACAGTATGTTGTGATTATAGGGGGCACTGTTGCATTTTGACCACAGTATGTTGTGATTGTAGGGGGCGCTGTT